TTCTTTTGTACAGTAGAATAGTGTTGTAGAGCTTTATTATAGTTATAAGTTTTACTTGTAAACACTTATGCTATGTACACATATATGTCTTAAAAAAATAATTTGAGTTTAAAAATTCTAAAAATAACACAGTACGTGTTGCGCTTGTACTTGGCACCTTTTTTTTACCTTTTTATTTAAAAAGGTAAGTTTAATATAAATTTTACTTGTAAAAATTGTATATACGTCACGTACATACACCATTAATATGTAAATGTCATTAATTTATACTTGTAAATTATCTTCACCTAATTCGCGTATTACCTGCACTATTTGCGTTATAAATTGTATCAAGTAGACCTTAATATTGAAGAGCAATCTCCCTGGACAACGCGTCAATAAGTACCGGTATTGATTTTTCGGTGGCACATCTCATCACATCGTCTGCTCAGCATCAGCTGATCGGCAATCAAATGACGTGCGTCATAACATACCATGACGCATACCAACAGTATTCTCATATATATCTACACACACACATATATATATATATGTGTGTATGTATGTATGTTATACAAATAAGATATAATTTGAAACGATTCTCATATAACTATAGCAAATAATATTTTATATATACATAACATGTTTTATGAAACAGTTAAATGACAGGGTATGTACATACATATATATATAACATATACAATGAAATAATAAAGTATATAATAATAAAATAATATATATATACATACATACATACATATATATATATATATATATATATATACAGGGTGCACGATTTATCTGAAGACATTGAAATATTTCGAGAACTATGCATTGGATAAAAAAAAGTGGTTAATGAAAGTTGTTAGTCTCGAAGGGGGACATCCAATGATACCAAACTCGACCACCCCACCCCCTGGGGGTGGGGGTTGGGGGCAACTTTGAAATCTTAAATGAAAACCCCAATTTTTTATTGCAGATACGGATTCTACGCCACAAAATACGTAAATTTTGTCCGAAACTTTTTTTTTTATTCGTGATAGATGGCGCTGTAATCGCAAAAAATTAATTTTCCGCAATTCTCCAGAAATGATCATTGGATTGAGAAATAAAAAATACCTGTTCAATATTTTTAAAGAACATAATAAAAGTTATTAAAAAGATAAGGTTTATCAACCTAACCTAAAAGATAAGATTTATCAACAAGTGCCAACAACTCGTGAAAACATGGTAGAACGCATAAGAAACGCTTGCGCTGAAACTCCCGCAGATATGCTTCTATCCTGTGTAGTCATTTGAAAAAAGGATCAATAAGTGTATTGAAGTTGAAGGTAAAAATTTCGAACACTTACTCTAATTAATTAAACAGTGAGAGGCAAGGGGACTCACATTAAAAAAGCACCCCGATCTGTGAGAGGTAAGGGGACTCACATTAAAAAAGCACCCGAAGGGAACATAAAACTACTACGTCCTCGTCGTTGTTCCTGTGTAACGCTAAAAGTAGTTCTCGGAAAAATTCAACGCTATCTATCACGAATGAAAAAAATTGTTTCAATAAAAGTTTCACGTACAATCTAATTCTGCAATGAAAAATGTGGCTCCCCATTTGAGATTTGAACGTTATCACCCACCCTATCCCGAGAGGATGGGGGGGAATAACTTTTATTATGTTCTTTAAAAATATTGAACAGGTATTTTTTATTTCTCAATCCAATGATCATTTCTGGAGAATTGCGGAAAATATAATTTTTTGCGATTACAGCGCCATCTATCACGAATCAAAAAAAAAGTTTCGGACAAAATTTACGTATTTTGTGGCGTAGAATCCGTATCTGCAATAAAAAATTGGGGTTTCCATTTAAGATTTCAAAGTTGCCCCCAACCCTCACCCCCAGGGGGTGGAGTGGGAGGTCGAGTTTGGTATCGTTGGATGTCCCCCTTCGAGACTAACAACTTTCATTAACCACTTTTTTTTATCCAATGCATAGTTCTTGAGATATTTCAATGTCTTCAGATAAATCGTGCACCCTGTATATACATATATATGTATATGTATATATATATATATATGTGTATGTACACATGCATACACACAACTCTCTCTCCCGTTCTCTCTCTCTCTCTCTCTCTCTCTCTTTCTCTCTCTCTCTCTCTCTCTCTCTCTCTCTCTCTCTCTCCTCTCTCTTTGTTGTGTGCAATAAATGATATCTAACGATATGAATATTATATGTTAATAATTGCAGTAGGGCACTATCTATTTTGACATTTCTTTTTTCAGTTTCGATTCTTGTAAGTCATGAATATCGATTTATTATGGTCTCTCTTTCTCTCTCACTCTCACTCCTCTCTTACTCCTCTCTCTCTCTCCCCCTCCTCTCTCTCTCTCTCTCTCTCTCTCTCTCTCTCTCTCTCTCCCTCTCTCTCTCTGTCTCTCTCTCGCTCTCTTTCCCTCTGTTACACACTTTTACCTCCTGTATTCTAACAATATTCTTCTCTCTCTTACTCTCTATCACTTGCTCATTCGCACTCGCTGCTCTTTGCTTCTTCAGCGCGCTCGTAACGCCTCTGGTGCCGGAAAAATGAGATGCACAAATCCCCTCTTCTCAGCGGTCTAGCGTTTCTTTCTTATTACTTTCTTACTGAATCGTAATTTTCCGTAATTTGGACTTTGTCTTAAAATATATATGGGGCATTCCGTATGAAGCGATACACCCAAATTTTCAAAGTTATACGATTATGCTGAAATTTGCACAAATTGTAGTCCTATCACAACTAAGATTTTTGGCCAAATTGTTTGACTCACGACCAACGGGTTGTCTAGTAACAGAGGCTTGAAGTTTTAGCATTTGGGCCGTTGTGGGTCCAACTTCAAACGCCGGTAAGTTCCAGTAGATTCCGATTTTCAAAAACAAGGAGTGATTTCTAAAGGTCTTTTTACGCCCTTTAATCCTATGAAATCAGTTTTGTTTTTAAGTCAAAATTTATTTAAAATTTTTGAAGGATAAGAAAGAAATTGTTTTTTCTCAAATTCAGACATCTTTGATTTTCTTCGAAAATATCTTTAAAAAAAGTAGAATTCTTGCCCTTTAAAATGATTCCAAGATCAAAATGGGCAGACTTTTAGTTTTCAAGATACAGCTTGTTTTAGGACCGAGCGCGTCACGCACGGTGCAGCTCGGCCGCTGTCTATCTTCTCCTAACCGAGCCGGCATTGAAGGCGGCATTACTCGCTTTTTATCATGCGCCAACATTAGAAGGAGACCGAAAAAAGTACATCTGTCCTCTTTTACTATCCGAAGCTAGTCGAAGTATGGAGCTCACATATATGCGGCTCTCGATTGTGTGCGTTATCCCTTGTACTAAGGGATCAAAGATGACATATCGAGACCGCTAGTAGATGATGGAGGGGATGGCCAATGCCGTGCTTGCGTACATGTACGTTCGCCAAGATCGGTGATTGCTCGGCGAGCGCATACGTCCAAGGACCCGCGTCCTCCGTGTGGCACCTCTGAACGCCACAGATGAATGCAAATTAGTAGAAAATCGCGTGACTCTTAGTGACTTTGATTAGTTTCTTTTGATTTTGACATTGACTTTTGACTTTATCCCGTATTTTGAGTTTCGACTTAGATTGGGTTTGGCTTTTATTTCGATGTTTCCTCGGATTTTGGTTTTGCTTTTCATTTTGATATATTTTCATTAAATAAGTAATAGCATAAACATGACAACACAGTACATGTATATGATATATGACACAGATCACATCACGTCTGGCCACAAGCAATAGAACTGATCGGATTATCTGTGGCACTTGCAACAGCGGCCGAGCTGCACCGTGCGTGATGCGCTCGGTCCTAAAACAAGCTGTATCTTGAAAACTAAAAGTCTGCCTATTTTGATCTTGGAATCATTTTAAAGGGCAAGAATTCTACTTTTTTTAAAGATATTTTCGAAGAAAATCAAAGATGTCTGAATTTGAGAAAAAACAATTTCTTTCTTATCCTTCAAAAATTTTAAATAAATTTTGACTTAAAAACAAAACTGATTTCATAGGATTAAAGGGCGCAAAAAGACCTTTAGAAATCACTCCTTGTTTTTGAAAATCAGAATAGTCTACTGGAACTTACTGGCGTTTGAAGTTGGACACAACGGACCAAATGCTAAAACTTCAAGCCTCTGTTACTAGACAATCCGTTGGTCGTGAGTCAAACAATTTGGCCAAAAATCTTAGTTGTGATAGGACTACAATTTGTGCAAATTTCAGCGTAATCGTACAACTTTGAAAATTTGGGTGTATCACTTCATATGGAATGCCCCATATATTTGGTGACAATGTACACAAAAAACACTAGGATACTTTTCTTCCTATTTTTTAAGGCTGAATCGACTGGGACTAGAAAACGTCGATTGGTTTAGCCATTGCTGGGATATGAATATCTCACCTCGTTTCAACTCGCAATTTCGCGTAATATAGGCACGGTGTGCCTTTTGATTAACGTAAGCTTGAATAGATGTAAATATCAGATACACGATATAAAAGCTTTTCAAATCGTTAATTACGAATTTCATGTCAGGTTTACGTAATCCATTCAAATAATTTATTTATAAAAAAGACTTAATGTGCGAAAAATTTATGAAAAAATATATATTATATTTTAATACATGTTAAGAATATTTAGTAAAATTTTTAGCCCTTAATCTTACTTTCCCAGAAATTATATTTTTTCAAATCGTTCCTTTCAATTTTATTTGTTTATAAATAGTTATAAAATATAAATACTTGATGTATTAATATATCAGAAAAATGTGAAATCATACTTGTTTTTATTAAACTGTAAACAATATATTATAAAAATGAAAGAGAAAAGAATAGTAAGTATACCTACTACTGTCACACAAATGTTATTTAAAAAGTTAAATAACGTATCAAACTATCTTAAATTATTCATAAATGTACAATAGTGTAGAATACTCACCGGTAATAAATGATATTATTCATCAATGATGTAATGACTTTTCAGCGTAGATAAAAACACTGGATCCGGAAATTCCAGCAGGCCTGCTTCGAGGAACTCCATGACATCGAGCTAAAACAATCCCGTATCACTTACGTAATTTCCCTCAAGGACTTGCGTAATTTCCCTCGAGGACTGGACACACCTCAACTGAAGACCTCACGGCTACTATTTTCCAAGATTGTAGCATTGCATTCGACGACGTTGCGACGAAGAGGCAGACTCAAATTCGTATTTAGACACTACTACGACACACCAATTTCAATTTTCACGAAGAGTATAGAAGCGATACGTACATGTGCGTGTGTGTTCTTGTATATCGATAGCGCGTAATCGAGTAATCCTTAAAACAGAGTATCTGCGGCGCCATAATGTCCAATAGGAAGTAGATCTCGTGTTGATGTATTCGCTTTGCGTTATTTTTTACGCGGGTGTGAGTCTTAACGCGATGGTTTTCTCGCCGCGGGGATCCGCGCGCCAATGCCCGAACCGAAAACGACTCGTGTATGATGATCATGATGATCGTGTGTGAATGTGTGCAGACTACAATGTGCAATACTCACAATATTTTGGAAAATATAATATCGAAGTTGCACGGACTATCCGCAAATTGTTTGTTTATTTAAAACATCAACAATCTAACGCATGGTAAAGGCCTCGTTTATTCGACAATCGAGACAATTCAACGATCTAAAACTCTATTAACTACTTAATAGTAAGTATCAGAACAATATTGGAGATCGGTAGACTCTGCTGTTGAAGTTCAAATCTACCAGAGACTCGCTGGTGGATTCGTCCGAGCGTAACATATATACAAACTGAAGGGATCAATTTGTGATTGCAAGCGCATAGAGAAAGAGAAAAAGAGAAAAAGAGAGAAAAAGAGAAAGAGTCGGACATGTCTATATGTACAATTACATTACTTCACATATTTTCGAAGCACCAGGTAAAAAGCAATAATCAAAACTCAATGCCTCGAGCGTTTCTCCTTCTTCGACTTCTTCTTGTGCTTAGGACTCTTATGCTCTTTGTGCTTATGTTTTTTCTTCTCCTTCTTCGACTTTTTCGTCTTGCTGCGCTCCACCCACTTGCCGGCGAACTTGGAGTCGTCAGTCTTGCTTGTCGACACGACGACGCTGCGGAACAGCGACTTCGGCAAGTGCGTCATGTCATCGTCGGCTTTGTTCGCATTCGTTGCGCTGCTCTCTTGCTTTAGCAACCTCTGCGGCAGCACCGGCCCATACATGTCCTGTGGTATCGCAGCTTCCGTCGTGTCGCTCATGTTGTTACGGTCTGCGGTACGGTGATCACTCTGCGACCCATGAGCTGCGAGCGAGCTGGTCTCTTCAACCTTGGAAGCCGTACTTTCGTTGGACCGATCGTCCTTGGCACATGTTTTCGGTTGTACCAATAGACTATCGAGATCCAGCTTTGCAAAAATACCCCGTGGCGGGGACGTATTTCGTTGCGTATTTATCTCTTTCGAGTCTTTCCCGATCAAGATCGACTTGACCGCTTCACTGTCGACGTTCTCCTCCGACTCACTGTCGGAGGAATCCTCGCTGCTGCTGAGGAAAATCGCCTTGAACAAATCTTTCTTCTCCTCTGACTGATTCTTGAACGTGTTCGCCGGTCCGGCAACTACCCGCTTGTCTTCCGTTTCTTGGTCATGTGTATTCTTGTCCTTGTTGGAATTATCGGCTACATGCTCCTGGCCGGTGTCTTTCGGCGTAGTCGAAGGTGCGCTCTGAATGCCTTTGCCGAAGACTTTTTCATATGAAGCTTCAAAGATCCTAAATTTCTCAGAGACGACTTCTGAAGGTTGATAGATATTAGATGGGATATTCTTGGGGCTGACGGCTGTTTCGTGTACCTCTTCAGTCTTCCTCGACGACTGAGGAATTGGTTCTTCAGTTTGCGCTTTGGACACGGTGTCAGTAGCTTTCGTAAATTTAGACGAGCTGCACCAGTCTAACGAATCGAAGATGGAGAACTTGGCTGTCTTTCGGTCCGTCGTGACTTCAGCGCAGTCGACTTTCGGTTCGGGAATGTTGAATCGCTTGCAAACGGCACTCGCTGGCTTCCATTTCTTCCGTTCTCGAGTGAGTTTGCCAAACATCTTCAGCTTGACCGCTTCTTTCTTATCTTTGTCTGGATCCAGCTCGTCCACCGTATGATTAACGCTTGGTGCAAACTTGTTCGCCATATAATTACTCGATTGTTCGAGTTTGGCCGCTTGCTCAAATTCCGTGCGTTCCTGCTCTCTTTCCCAAGCTGTCATGGAGAACGGTTGAATGCTCTCCAGTTTGTTCAGCTCATCATTCTTCAAGAAAGTAAGATACTGTTCAAATCGTCTCTGTTTGTCCGGGTCAGACAAAAACAATTTTTTCGTTTCGCTTTTGTCCGGAACGTCATCTTCGTTCGACTTATTCGTACTCGATGACGTAGACGCGGTAGCGTCCGTGAAGTCTTCCAGCTTCTTCAAGTTGTCCGTGTCATTCTCTCCGGACCCAACAACACCGCCCTTTACGAAGATTTGTACATTCAATTTGTCCAACCATGAACTGCTTGTCTTCATCGTTTGTTGGGTCTCCAGCTTTTGCTTCTCCTCTGTCTGTTGCTTACCTTGTAAATTCAACGTTCTCGAGATCATGTTCGAGGCGACGGACGTGCTCGGTGGCTTTTTCGAGCGATCGTCCGGGTCTTCTAAAATCCGCGCTCTGTCCACGGCATTCAACTCTCTGCGTTTGCCATTTTCCAAAGTGCACGACGGAGTCGCGATCGGCGGGTAAAATCTACTCTTCCTGACGGCATGCACCGGCGCGAAGTTCTTCGACAATTCCGGTGGCTTAAAGAGTTTCTTGCTCTCGAGTCTTTCCTTTGCAGAGACAAAACCCTCTAGGCAGTCGGTTTGAGAGCTACTCGGGCCGTCTTCAGACCATCTCGTCTTCGTCTTGTGTTCAGGACCCAGAGCGAAATCGTACCGCGACATGTCTTCTCGTTCATATATGTCATCGTCATCAGCCTCGAACGCGCCGACTCCAAACGCCTGGCCGTGTATCGACAGTTTCTTGTTTTTATCTTGAACGCAGAACGCTGGAGTATCAAACAGATCGATGTGGCTAGAAAGAACTTTCCGTCTATCCAAGCCCGAGTAGCCAATGCCGAAATAATTGTCCTTCGGTTTGCACCTGAACGGCTCGTAATCGTCGGGAGCGAAGGTAACATCGGTGAAATCATCGTCCGAATCCTCAGAATTGCTCACTATTATTTCACGGTTCTCCTGTGTTTGCTTTAAGCTCTTGTTACGCTGTTTCATCCTGTGCTTCTCTCTCTTGGTTAGCCTGGAACCCACACCTTGACCAAGTTTCCAGCCCATCTTTTTCAGCAGGACAATGCCAACTGTTTCTCTGTTTTTTGAGTGCAAAATATTAACATAGCTTTAAGTCTAGACATTTCCACCTAATTATTTCCATCTTAGCCATAAACATAATGCTGGAGATTGACACTTAAAAAAAATGATGAGATAAAGATATATCATTACATTAAATCTCGTAGATACTAACTTGACAGGTTTAAGAAGATCTTTCAAGACCGGAGTGCCAGGAATGGGCCCACTATTATCTTGGCTTATCCTTTCCCTCTTCTTTCCTTTCTCTCCACGATCAGCATAATCACTGGTAGCTCGGATTCCTTTTGGAGCGATCCCAAAAAGACTTGTATCTTCCTCATCCATAAAATCTTCTGGCCGTTGAGTAATGCTATCTGCCTTGCTGCTCCTGGAAGACTTGAATTGTTGTGGTCTCCAGCCATCGCGAGTACCAACGGTATTGAAGTATCCAGCGGAAAAGCCACCTGTAAAGGCGCCATGAAACCTGCGCCTACCTTGAGCATCATAGGCGTACTGATCTTCGACTGTAACAGGTTTCTTTCGTGGTATGTTTTCTGGAAAATATAAACTCCGATGTAGCAAATAATGATAAAACGTTGTATGACTACATGACAGTTCGTATTGTCTGCATACCTTCGTCCAGAGGATCAAGAGCCACGCCGAATGTCACATAATTTTCATCCGATGAATCTGACATTGTTCCAATATCTCAATATTTAATTCTCAACATTATATTATGATCAAAACACGATCGAATATTCTTAATCTTGCAAAACGCTGTCAACGTCGTAATTTTAAGGTTAGGTGAAGTATTCGCTGGTATACAAAACTTATCAGACAGTCAGTTCAGTTCAATTCAGTTCGTTTGTTCGTTCGATATATGCCTTGATAGTAAGGCATACCCATACGTTATTCACCAGCTGCGTTAAGGGCAGTTCAGTTCAATATATGGCTCCGGACAAATTAAGGTACGTCCACATGCCATTCTCCAGCTTTTTGGACTTAGCAGACAGCCTCGGAGCATACGATATATTAAAGGTCTACAGGAGCCATACTAGAGACCTCTCGCGGAGACCTGCGAACTAGGCAAAATTATATTGCAAATTATGAACAAAATACGAAGAGAATCACCTTATATGTACGATATTTGCAATCAGGAGAAATGTCGGCAGGGTCGTACAGAGCGCTTTTTTGGAAAAAAGTCGAAATAAAAATCGATTAAATAACTTGAATGAACGTTCATCTCGCGGTGCACGAACCTATATTTTCATTTATTACAAATTTTCAAGAACTTAAATGCAAAATCGGGCTCTGTACGACCTTAGATATTAATATAAGGAAGATGTCCATGTACGATCGCGAGCATAAAGGTTTGTGACCGTTTTTTTGCAACTTTCGGAACGCATCGCGACTCGAGAAGAATGAGAGTTACTGCTCCGCCTGTGAAGCACACCTGCGCAGTGACTCACGACGAAAGGCGAGAAATGAAATATACGCGGTGGGACATATTATAATAATACAAACTCAGATGAAATGAATACTCCAGTATTAAATGGAAATGAGGGAACACGGAACAGACAAGAATCATCCGATGTAAGTCTTATACTCCGGAGAACATCCGAAAAAGGTAAAATACGAACTTAATTAAGAGAATTAAGCTGCATTACGATAGTTACGATTCTGTTATACATTTATATATGATTTATTGTTCCAGCAACAGCCATCTTCTATAGCAGAAGCAATGATATTAGATACAGAAGCAGCTGTTATAGCGAATTTTGAATTTTTGGGACATACAGACATGGACATGGAAGAGGAAGAAGGAGATGGAGACGATGAAATTTATGATGCAAATACAGATACCAAACCAAATAACGCTTACTATCATGTTGCGTTTTAATGATATTGTTTACGCTATTTGTTAACATATATGTTGGTATCTGTATTTGCATCATAAATTTCATCGTCTCCATCTCCTTCTTCTTCTTCCATGTCCATGTCTGTATGTCCCAAAAATTCAAAATTCGTTATAACAGCTGCTTCTGTATCTAATATCATTGCTTCTGCTATAGAAGATGGCTGTTGCTGGAACAATAAATCATATATAAATGTATAACAGAATCGTAACTATCGTAATGCAGCTTAATTCTCTTAATTAAGTTCGTATTTTACCTTTTTCGGATGTCCTCCGGAGTATAAGACTTACATCGGATGATTCTTGTCTGTTCCGTGTTCCCTCATTTCCATTTAATACTGGAGTATTCATTTCATCTGAGTCTATATTATTATAATATGTCCCACCGCGTATATTTCATTTCTCGCCTTTCGTCGTGAGTCACTGCGCAGGCGTGCTCCACAGGCGGAGCAGTGACTCTCATTCTTCTCGAGTCGGGATGCGTTCCGAAAGTTGCAAAAAACGGTCATAAATTTTTATGCTCGCGACCGTATGTCTGATAAGCAAATATGATGTATGCGTGGCAAAATTTGTAAGTGTAAACACGGAAAGTGTAGCCCAGTTGCACTATAGTGCAGTCTATATGACCTAACCTTCCTGCCTTGCGTTCGTGCGAGCAATGCATTAGTATTAGCGTATATATGAGCAGTGCATAAGTATTGCCGTGTGTATGTATATGAATACTTTCCAGCTTCCACTTTAAAACATAAGAAGATATTTTGCCACGTTGACGATATATGTAACCACCAAATTGATATGGAATATTCCTTGAACTATTATCGAGGTTCCTACAGAGCCAAATTTTGCAATCCGGCCGTCAATAATTTATCATATATTAATAAAGCATCCGCCGTATCAAGCATCGCTGCGAGTCACTCGAAATATCATTTTACGAGATGCAATATTTCGTCTCTTTGACGATACATATTATTATCAAATTCTTCGTACTATTTCCGAGATCGATACAAAGCCAGATTTTGCAATCCGGTGAAAAATATATCATAAATAAATAAAGATGTATGAAGCGTCGGAGGGGATCACGTACAATACCATTTTACAAGAAGAGATCCGCTTCGTTGGCGATATATGTAACCGCCAGATTTATATGGAATATTCTTTGAACTATTATCGAAGTCCCAACAGAGCCAGATTTTGCAATCCAGCCGTTAAAAATTTATAATATTTTAATAAAGCGAGCATCGTACGAAACATCGCAGCGACTCCCGCGAAATACTATACAAGAAAAGATATTTTGCCTCGTTGCATTCATATATTACCACCAAATTGTTACAACATATTTCTCGATCTATTTCCGAGGTCTCTATAATGCCAGATTTCGCAATCAGACCGTCTAACTTTTATCATAAATAAATAAAGATGCACCAAGCGTCAAGGCGGATGACGCGAATACATTTTCACAAGAAGAGATATTCCGCCTCGTTGACGATGTATGTATCTGCCAAATTGATATGGAATAATCCGTGAACTATTATCGAGGTCCCTATACAGGGCTAGATTTTGCAATCTGGCCGTCCAAAGTTTATGAAAAATAAATGAGTCCGCCGTACCAAGCATCGCAGCGAATCACTCCAAAAATTATTTTACGAGATGCAAAATTTCGTCTCGTTAACGATATGTATAATTGCTAAACTGTTATAGCATCTTCCTTGAACTATCCCTTACACAGCCAGATTATGCAATCCGGCCGTCCAAAATTTATAATATATATAAATAAAGCATCAGCCATACCAGGAGTTGCAGCGAGTCAGGTGGAATACATTTTACAAGAAGCAATATTTTGCCTTGTTGACGTAATATATGACCATGAACTTGTTTTAGCATCTTCCTACAACTATTCCCGAGTTCTCTACAGAGTTAGATTTTACAAACAGGCCGTCAACAATTTATTATACATAATTAAAGCGTCAGCTGTACCAAATATCGCAGCGAATCAGGCGGAATACAATTTTACAAGAACAAATATATTGCCTCGTTGACAATATATATAACCGCCAAATTATTATGGTATCTTCCTTGAACTATCCCTGAGAACCCTACAGAGCTAGATCTTGCAATTCGGCGGTCAAAAATTTATCATACATTAATTTATCATACAATAAAGCGTGCGCTGTACCAAGAGTCGCTGCGAGTCACTCGAAATATCATTTTAGGAGATGCAATATTTCGTCTCTTTGACGATACTCTCCTTGACGGTATTATTACCAAATTGTTGCAGCATCTTCTTCGTACTATTCCCGAGATCGGTACAAAGCCGGATTTTGCAATCCGGTCGTCAAAAATTTATAATATATAAATAAAGTGTTCGTCATACCAGGCGTTGGAGCGAATCAGTCGAAAAATTATTGTAGGAGATGCAAAATTTCACCTCGTTGACGATATGTTTCACCGCCAAATTGTTATAGCATGTTCTTTGAATTATCCCCGAGAAACCTACAGAACCAGATTTTGCAGTCAGGCCATGAAAAATGTATCATAAATAAATAAAGATGTATGAATATATTTCTCATGTTCCAAAATTGTACGTGACATGCTGCAATGCTTGGTACAGTCTTTTATATACGATAAATGTTAGACGGCCTAATTACGAAATCTGGCATTGTAGAGACCTCGGAAATAGATCGAGGAATATGTTATAACAATTTGGTGCTGATATATGACAGCAACGAGGAAAAATATTTTTTCTTGTAATATGATATTTCGCAGGACTCGCTGCAATGTTTCGTACGACGCACACTTTATTAATATATGATAAATTTTTGACGGCCGGAATGCAAAATTTGGCTCTGTAGGGAGCTGGATAATAGTTCAAGGAATATTCCATATCAATTTAGCGGTTATATATATCGCCAACGAAGCGGAATATCTCTTCTTGTGAAATTGTATTCGCGTGATCCACCTTGATGCTTGATGCATCTTTATTTATTTATAATAAAAGTTAGACAGCCCGATTGCAAAATCTGGCTTTGTGAGGCTTGGGAATAGTTTTAGAGATATCCTATAACAATATGATGATGATTACATCAGTATTACATCAGTGAAGTAATATATCTCATTTTGTAATATGGTATTGTACGCGATCCACTCCGACGCTTCATACATCTTTATTTATTTATGATACATTTTTCATGGCCTAACTGCAAAATCTGGTTCTGTAGGTTTCTCGGGGATAATTCAAAGAACATGCTATAACAATTTGGCGGTGAAACATATCGTCAACGAGGTGAAATTTTGCATCTCCTACAATAATTTTTCGACTGATTCGCTCCAACGCCTGGTATGACGAACACTTTATTTATATATTATAAATTTTTGACGACCGGATTGCAAAATCCGGCTTTGTACCGATCTCGGGAATAGTACGAAGAAGATGCTGCAACAATTTGGTAATAATACCGTCAAGGAGAGTATCGTCAAAGAGACGAAATATTGCATCTCCTAAAATGATATTTCGAGTGACTCGCAGCGACTCTTGGTACAGCGCACGCTTTATTGTATGATAAATTAATGTATGATAAATTTTTGACCGCCGGATTGCAAGATCTAGCTCTGTAGGGTTCTCAGGGATAGTTCAAGGAAGATACCATAATAATTTGGCGGTTATATATATTGTCAACGAGGCAATATATTTGTTCTTGTAAAATTGTATTCCGCCTGATTCGCTGCGATATTTGGTACAGCTGACGCTTTAATTATGTATAATAAATTGTTGACGGCCTGTTTGTAAAATCTAACTCTGTAGAGAACTCGGGAATAGTTGTAGGAAGATGCTAAAACAAGTTCATGGTCATATATTACGTCAACAAGGCAAAATATTGCTTCTTGTAAAATGTATTCCACCTGACTCGCTGCAACTCCTGGTATGGCTGATGCTTTATTTATATATATTATAAATTTTGGACGGCCGGATTGCATAATCTGGCTGTGTAAGGGATAGTTCAAGGAAGATGCTATAACAGTTTAGCAATTATACGTATCGTATATCAGACAAAAGTTGCAGGGCTTCAAAGGATCTATTTACTGACGTTATGAATTTAACCTTGGTCTTAAATGGATATCCCAATTTTTTATTATATCGTCTTTTTCTAGCAATTAATTTGAACAACTTTTGTCTGAAACATTTTTTAATTTTATTTAAGGAAAATTTAATAACTTTTTTAATATTTAACTCACGATATCTCGTTAACTATTTGTCAGAAGAAAAAGTGGTACTAGAATTTTTTGCTTTATTTAGTCTCAAGAATATATTGTTACAATAGCGCTTGACTTTTGTTTGTTGATTTTTTGAAATTTCAAAATCATCAAATTAACCAAATTCATGGCGCTATTGGGACAATATATTCTTGAGACTAAATAGAGGACAAAAATCTAGTACCATTTCTTCTTCTGACAAATAATTAGTGAAATATCGTGACTTAAATATTGAAAAAGTTATTCAGTTTTCCTTAAATATGTCACAAAATATTAGTTAAATAAAATAATGTTTCAGACAAAAGTTGTTTAAATTAATTGGTAGGAAAAGACGTTGTAATAAAAAATTCGGGTATCCATTTATTATAATAACCTTTTTAAACAAAAAGGTAAAAAAGGCGCGAAGTACAAGCGCAACGCGTATTGTGCTATTTTTAGAAATTTCAAATTCAAATTATTTTAAGTATGTATGTGTACACTCAGAGGCAGGTATGGTGTCCCTCGGCGATGTCGTATACGCCTGTAAAACAATCGAAAGCGATGACAGGCATATACGCATATGCATATGGGCGTACTGTACAGCGCGAGAGAAGCGAAGAAGGAGAAGTGGTGGGAGGCGTTCCGATGTTGCATCCTTATCGCACGTCGCACGATCGAGAGAGAAAGCATTACCAGACGTGGTACGGTTAATGGTGTCCCCAATAGCTGTCTCACTCTCTCTACGCTTGAATGCAGGCAATATGAGTGAGACAGCTATAGAGACACCGCGCTGTCTCTATAGGTGTCTCGCTCGCTCTAATAATCATGTATCGCGCTTTCCTCTTTTCTCCTTAGCAGTAATGCCGATTAAGGAGGCAATCCTGTCTGTAGGCCAGAAAAATAAGCTATTTTCGCGAATTTTTTTTTTGGAAACTAAGCAGACGATTGATTTCAAACTTGATAAAAATAATAATATATATTTTATTGATGAGAATGAATTTTTATGGCGTTATAAAAGAGAAAAGCGCGATACATGGCTATTACAGCGAGTGAGACACCTATAGAGATAGCGCGGTGCATATAAAAAATTAATATTTTTTTATTTCGCTAGTTCACACGATAGATAGACATGTTTCGAATATGTAATTAGATGCTGAAGTCAATCGATCGACTTTTTTATATAAAAAAAAAGTTTTTTCTCTGATTTCAGAAGATGCTATATAGCATCTCGTTATTATTATTGTAATTTTTATTATTATTAAATGTCTCCAAATTTTTTTTTATATTTTCAAGAGCGGAACCTATATTGTAAGTAGCATTTTAAGGAAGATGTTGCATTTATTCTCCCTCCTTCTCGTAGTCTTTTCAAAAGTAAAGATACGCTGTGTCTAAAAAAAAATTGCACAATTTGACATATCTTACGGCATAAAATAAGTTTTTTTCGTAAATTTCATGAAATATCATTTTCTTGCAAATAAAATATTCTTAACGTAAAATCATCGATATTTATGATGATTTTTCAAATATAATTTTTAAATGCCTTAAAATATTAAAAAAGTAGTTCGTTTTTTATTTCCTTAATTCAAACGAGTTAGCGGCAAGTTCATAGATTAATTATTTTACTTGCGTTTTTGTCCCAGTCTACCGTATTTCGAGATTTTATAGGAACCATGAAACGGCGCGCGCCTAAACACGTCACGTTATTTTCTGTATATTTGCTACATTATTATTCATATAACGCTATAAAAATTCATTCTTATCAATAAAATATATATTATTATTTCTATCAAGTTTGAAATCAATCATCTGCTTAGTTTCCGAAAAAGAATTCGCGAAAATAGCTTATTTTTCTGACCTACAGACAGGATTGCCTCTTTAATCGGCATTTCTGCTAAGGAGAAAAGAGGAAAGCACGATATATCGCTATTAGAGCGAGCGAGACACCTATAGAGACAGCGCGGTGTCTCTATAGCTGTTTCACTCATATTGCTTGCATTCAAACGTAGAGAGAGTGAGACAGCTATTGGAGACACCATTAACCGTACCACGTCTGGTAATGCTTTCTCTCTCGATCGTGCGACGTGCGATAAGGATGCAACATCGGAACGTCTCCTACCACTTCTCCCTCTTCGCTTCTCTCGCGCTGTACAGTACGCCCATATGCATATGCGTATATGCCTGTCATCGCTTTCGATTGTTTTACAGGCGTATACGACATCGCCGAGGGACATCATACCTGCCTCTGAGTGTACATAATATAAGTTTTTAGAAGTAAAACTTATACAAAAAAAGTGATATATTAAAACAGTAGCGCCAACTGAGAAATTGTATACTTAATATTTTTAGAAATCTCAAATTCAAATTATTTCCTTTTTTTAAGATATATATTATGTACATAACATAAGTTTTTACAAGTACAAATGATATCATGTTATAACAATTTTACACGCTTATTAGTAGTGTCCAATATTTAATTTATCATTATTTATTATAACACTGATCAGTGTTATAATAAATAATGATAAATTAAATATTGGACACTACTAATAAACATGTAATATATCACTTTTTTTGTATAAGTTTTACTTCTAAAAACTTATGTTATGTACACATACATACTGAAAAAAAAATTTGAATTTGAAATTTCTAAAAATAGCACAATACGCGTTGCGCTTGTACTTGGCACCATTTTTTACCTTTTTGTTTAAGAAGGTTATTATAATAAATGGATACCCGAATTTTTTATTACAACGTCTTTTCCTACCAATTAATTTAAACAACTTTTGTCTGAAACATTATTTTATTTAACTAATATTTTGTGACATATTTAAGGAAAACTGAATAACTTTTTCAATATTTAACTCACGATATTTCGCTAATTATTTGTCAGAAGAAAAAAATGGCACTAGATTTTCTTCCTCTATTTAGTCTCAAGAATATATTGTTCCAATATACAAGGTGTTTGATAGCTGATCATGCAGACGAATGTTGGAGATAGATTGGGTGTAGCCGAGAAGAATAGTCATGTACCATAATGTCAAATTGCCAATAGTTACCGAGTTATTAATTAAAACATGTGAGCCAACGAGCGCGTAGAGAGCGGAGGACGGCCGCAGTAAGCACGTAGACATTTGATACAGGCGGAGTCAGCGAGTGACGGTAGGCGAGCGCGCGCGGCGAGGGGCAACGTAAGCGACAAGAGGCGATCGCGCGCGACGAGGAGCGAGCGAGAGCTTTTTCTTTATAGCTTTTTCCTTATAGCTCGCTCGCTTCTCGTCGTTCGCGTTCGCTCGCTCTTCGTCGCGCTCGCTCGCCTCTTGTCGCTTGCGCTCGCTCGCTCCTCGTCGTTCGCGCTCGCTCGCTCCTCGTCGCGCGCGTTCGCCTCTTGTTGTTTACGTTGCCCCTCGCCACGCGCGCTCGCCTACCGTCACTCGCTGACTCCGCCTGTATCATGTCTACGTGCTTACTGCGGTCGCCCTCCGCTCTCTACGCGCTCGTTGGCTCACATGTTTTAATTAATAACTCGATAACTATTGGCAATTTGATATTATGGTACATGACTTTTCTTCTCGGCTACATCCAACCTATCTTCAACTTTCGTCTGCATGATCAGCTATCAAACACCCTGTATATATTCTTCCAAAGAATATATTGTTCCATAGTGCCATGAATTTGGTTAATTTGATGATTTTGAAATTTCAAAAAATCAACAAACAAAAGTCAAGCGCTATTGTAACAATATATTCTTGAGACTAAATATAGCAAAAAATTCTAGTACCACTTTTTCTTCTGACAAATAGTTAGCGAGATATCGTGAGTTAAATATTGAAAAAGTTATTAAATTTTCCTTAAATAAAATTAAAAAATGTTTCAGATAAAAGTTGTTCAAATTAATTGCTAGAAAAAGACGATATAATAAAAAATTGGGTTATCCATTTAAGACCAAGGTTAAATTCATAACGTCAGTAAATAGATCCTTTGAAGCCCTACAACTTTTGTCTGAAATATTTATTTCTAAAATGTTCTATTTCCGAAATAAAAGGGCTGTACGAGTGATCTGAATCACTCTGTATATATAATAATTTATACGCGTATAATATATTAACACGTTTCCAATATTTATTATCTTGTACAGGAAGTTAATACCTCGCCTGTAATAAAATTGGATATCTGAGGTATATATAGTCATTGACAAGTTTCAAAGTCTGCAAAAAACAGTAAATACTATATAATAATAATATATAATATATAAATAAATATTATAATCCGTAACCTTTGAATCTGCATCTGCTTCTGTATAATCAATTGCAGTAGTAAACATTACATTTGTTTATTATTATCTAAAAATAAATACAATTCATTAATTATATTATAAAGATTCAATTAGTTTTAGTGTAATATAAATAAAATATACTAACATCAAAGCTGAATCTGTATCATTCAAAAGATCAGATATGTCCAATCCATTACTTACATTTATTCCTATTTTCTCAGTCATAACATCTATTATTTCGACAACCTTATCGTGTGAAATATTGTAACATGCTTTAGCCTTAGAGAAATTTTTGTAATTATTAGTATCTGATATACAGTAACTAATGCATTTAAAACTTTGTTCTGTATGCCAGATCCAGGAATTACTCTATAAGAATAAGATTGTAAGTTAATTACATACAAATAATATTAATGAATAAACGCATAAAACCTATTTTGACTAAAAATATATTAAAAGTTAAATATAAAACTTTATATTAAAAAAAAATTATACTTACTTGATCGTCTTGTTTTCGGTGAGAATGTGAATATCCTCCATCGGTGACAGATATCACAGATACAAACTATATTATCTGTTATACAAGCAATTGAAAAATTGCCCAGATATAGCGCATGAAGAGGAAGAAGGGGCCGACGACCTTATCGAAATATATTTTTTTTGATCTTTTATTTATTTTTAATATTCTTTCATATAATTAGTTTGTTGTAATTTGAATGTATTACAACTTTCATTTATATTACTTTAATCCATAACCTTTGAATCTGCATCTGCTTCTGTACAATCAATTGCAGTAGTAAACATAACATTTCTTGTATTATTATCTAAAAATAAATATAATTCATTAATTATATTGTAAAGATTATTATACTTGTTTTAGTGCAATATAAATAAAATATACTAACATATCAAAGCTGAATCTGTATCATTCAAAGGATCGTCAGATATATCCAATCCATTACTTGCATTTATTCTTATTTTCTCAGTCATAACATTTGTTGTTTCGACAACATTATCGTGTGAAATATTGTGACATGCTTTAACCTTAGAGAAATTTTTGTAATTATCTGATATACAATAACTAATGCATTTAAAACTTCGTTCTATATGCTAAATCCAGGGATCTGAGATACAGTAACTAATGCACTTAAAACTTCGTTCTATATGCCAGATCCAGGGATTACTCTATCTATTAATGACATACAAATAATATTAATGAATAAACACATAAAACCTATTTGAACTAAAAATATATGAAAAGTTAAGTTTAAAACTTTATATTAAAAGAATTATACTTACTTGATCATCTCGTTTTCGATGAGAATGCGAATATTCTCCATCGGTGGCAGATATTCGGCATCGTTCAACAACAAATGAAATGGTTCTCTTATGCCAAATATCTTAGTGATCAATCAATAAAAATTTAGCAGATCCGACGCACATCGTGAAAAAACTTGGACAAGTCAACTTTCAGTCGAAAATGTGAGCGCAGCATTGTGATATCTTTGAGGTTAGGAAGCTTCAAAACCGAAATGCGCAATTGTCAAACCTTTGCTGTCGCTCATTGCTCGACGTAAACTACCAACGTTGCGATCACGTTGCTCGTGTTCGACTCGAATTCACGTGCTGTATAATACAATATATATAAAATAAATAAACTAGCAATATTTTATTTTTATTTCACCTCCTGTTCTACCAACCCGATATTCTTCTCTCTCTTGGTCTGTTCTTTTTAGCTGCACTACTGAACTAGTGCAATAAGTTAAAGTGAGAAAAAATATAGTTGTCTCATTCTAACTTATTGCACTAGTTCCGCAGTGCAGCTGAAAAGAACAGACCATCTTATTCCCTATCGCTTGCTCACTCGCACTCGCTGCTCTTTACTTCTTCAGCGCGCTCGTAACGTCTCTGGTGTCGGAAAAACGAGAAGTACAAATCCCTTCTCCTCGGCGGTCTATTCTTCTCTCTCTTAAGCTAGCGGCACACGGTGTTTGTTTTCGTGCTGGATTGCTTGCTGGATGAAAATACTGCGTTCTGATTGATGCATTTCCGAAGATGGATGGAAATGCACCAATCAGATCGCAGTATTTTCATCCAGCAAGCAATCCAGCACAAAAACAAGCACCGTGTGCCGCTGGCTTTATTCTCTATCACTTGCTCACTCACACTCGCTGCTCTTTGCATCTTCAGCGCGCTCGTAACGCCTTTGGTGTCGGAAAAACGAGAAGCACAAATCCCCTCTCCTCGGCGATCTAGCGTTTCTTTCTTACTTTCTTAAGCCAGCGGCACACGGTGCTTGTTTTCGTGCTAGATTGCTTGCTGGATGAAAATATTGCGTTCTGATTGGTGCATTTCCATCCATCTTCGGAAATGTACCAATCACAACGCAATATTTTCATCCAGCAAGCAATCCAGCACGAAAACAAGCACCGTGTGCCGCTGGCTTTACTGAATCGTAATTTCTGTGATTCAGACTTTAATCTTAAAATATCTCCACTTAGAGACGTACACAAAAAGCACAAGAACACTTTTCTTCCTATTTTTAAAGGCTGAATCGATTGGGATTAAAAAAACGTCGATCGGTTCAGCTATTCCTGAGATATGAATATCTCACCTCGTTTCAACTCGCAATTTCGCGTAATAATAGGCACTACTACCGTGCCTCTTGATTTGAGTGGGTCTTTTAAAATGGGACACCTTGTATATATATAAATTATATATATATACATACAAATGTATTACATACATACAAACAACATACATACCAATCTATTAATTAAAAATACATGCAATAAATACTAATTATATATAATATATACTTCTTTTTGAATTGTGTGTGCATTCTCCTTCATAAAACATAGGAAAGGCTGTTTGTATAATGAATTTATCTTCCTATTCTTCTGTAATATATATTCTTCTGTAATATATATTTTTATTCGTAAGAGTAAAAAAAATATAAATTAAAAAAAAATAATAAGCCTAGCTAAGCGCGAATACGCAATCTGGCGAGTATCAGCACCGTGGCTAGTCTGCTGCGCTACATCGCCATTTGGAAATAATTCTGCAAATGTTAGAATAACAGCGCATACTTAAAATCGCGAAATTTCAATTTGTAATTTCCCCCAAATGCTTGAATGTTGCATCGTCTCTGGTTAATAGTAGCTCTTGCTGGACCTATACTACATTTCTGCCAAAGCTCGTTAAATCAGTGACTCCAAGTTTGGCAGCAGCCCTTGTCAGATTATAGCCCGGAAAGAATTAAACCAGCGGCACACGGTGCTTGTTTTCGTGCTGGATTGCTTGTTGGACGAAAATATTGCGTTGTGATTGGTACATTTCCGAAGATGGATGGAAATGCACCAATCAGAACGCAGTATTTTCATCCAACAAGCAATCCAGCACGAAAACAAGCACCGTGTGCCGCTGGCTTAATTCACAACGAAAGGCGAGAAATGAAATATACGTGGTATGACATAAGTATGTCAACAATCATTGCGTTCAGCGGAGAAAACCGCTCAGTGAGCGATTAGTGACTAAATAAATACGATTTCACTTAAAATTTAATATATATACCTGTTCAATACCTTGCAAAAGACGCATTCCCATTTGAATGATTTACACTATGACTGCGTTCCGTTTCACGCATTATGCGCGCATTTCCTACAGTATATGTAACATGAACTATATATAAATGCGCGCATATGCGTGAAACGGAACGCCGCCTGTATCTATCCCTCCGCTGCTGATTTTTCAAAATGTAAGAATTGGGTGCGTTCACGACACTCAACGGTTGAACAACTGTTGAATAATTTGTCAACGTTATTGGTCTGAATGTAAGGATCTAACAGTAAGGACCAATAGTCACTAATCGCTCATTGAGCGGTTTTCTCCGCTGAACGCAATAATTGTTGACATACTTATGTCATACCACGTATGTTTCATTTCTCGCCTTTCGTTGTGAGTTACTACGCAGGTGTGCTCCGCAGGCGGAGCAGCAGCTCTCATCTTTCTCGAGTTAGGATACGTCCCGAAAGTCATTAAAAAAAAAGTGACAACCTTTATGTCCGCGACCGTACGTGCGTGGTGGGGAAAATCAGGAAAGAGTCGTGGACATTGGCATCGTAGTTCATGTGCACGGTTGTACAGAGGGCACCTCACACTGGACTCGGCTAAAAGCGGCCCATAACCCATGTCCCATGACACCTCTTCTCCTTCTCTCTAATGGTGGTAACACAATAAAATAAACAATGGGAAATGTTTAACATGATATGCTATAATTTAATTATGTGGCATGAGTTCGTCCGCTGTTCTGGTATCCCTATGCGTTATTCGTATCGAGATCTGTGATTTAGAATTAGAAGAATCAATCAGTGAGTAAAAATATTTTACTGCTTATGTTAATCATGATACAGGACATTAATGGTTTAATAATATAACTTTTACGATTGGAAATTAACTGAAAATATCAGTTTATTTTATAAATATCGTACAATTATTTTTTTATTGTATTTAGAAAGAATGCAATATTTTATATATTTTTTATTCAGCATTTACATAAGAATATGTACCAAACTTTCTTTTAAAAATGTAAAAATATAAACATACAGGTACAATGGCTATGAAGATGAGAGGCCGTAGAGAACCAAGAGATATCAATGTAGAAACTTATACAAATTCAATCTCAGAAGGTACATCTCCACTGTTATCAAGTCAAAGCACAAGTAAATCACATTCATCCTCAAGAGCTAATTCTGATGAAACATCATGCGCAAACTCTAACCATGTTGTAAGTTCTGGTTCTGGAGAGATAACTGGTGCAGCTGCTTGTACATCGCCAGATCAAATCAATTTTTTTTCGGGAAATCCATTTGTTGAAGTCACAAAAGGCATTCTTCATCTTTTCAAGGAAGAGTAAGTTATTAGATTGTGTCAAGTATTATTGATATATCGTGCATATCGATTATGTGTTAATAGGTTTTTACCAAACTTAATATTAGTATAATACTAATTATCATTTTTATTTGTTGAAGTGAATTGACTGAAATGCATTGTGCTGCAGATCGCAGTCATACTATTTGTATGCTGTCAGTACCAGCAACAATGACTTGCCATGATCTTTTAACTTTCACAGCAGCTTGTCATCAGGACATACAACATTTTAGGATACTCAGAGATGGTAGTCCTAATCAGTACATGGCTTTGATCACTTTTAGATCATCGGTAAGTTTATCAATATTTGAACAAATCACTTCTGATATTTAAAATTGAATTTGCTCACAAAAAAATAATCTTAAACACAGAACACTTGAGAATTTAAGAATCATTCCGCCTATCTTCAGATTTAATTATAATAATCAAAATCATAAAATTTAGCTTTTTTTGCATTCTAGAATGCAGCCAGTGAGTTTTATGAAACTTTCAATGGTGCTCCCTATAACTCTCTGGAACCTGATGTAGTTTGTCACATGGTATTTGTGTCCAAAGTTGAAATAGGAGACAATGGGATGCCTTTAAGTAGGCATACAGAATTACCATCATGTCCTGTCTGTTTGGAAAGGATGGACGAAAGTGTGGATGGGATCCTGACGATATTATGTAATCATACGTTCCATTCTAGTTGTCTTGTAAAGTGGGGTGATACATCCTGCCCCATCTGTCGATATGCCCAAACACCAGAACCATTAGCTGATAGCCGTTGCATGGAATGTGGTAGGTATTTGTCTGATTCCTTTGAATTGTTCAAAATTGAATGTTACCATCTTAGTTACTTTTCTCTCTTTGAATTTAATAATTCTTTTATTATATTTTATACTCTTTACAAAAATATTAAAATCGTCTTTGAAAATTCAATATTCATTTTAAAATATTTTTCATGTTTTGAATAATTAGAAAATCACATTTTACAAATTACTTTTTTAAGTTTGATATCCCACATTCTTTCAGAAATTGAAGGAATGATTTCAAACTAAAAATTCTTTTTATATATTTGGAACTTTTTAGTTGCAGATGCCAGCAATGATGCTTTGTGGATCTGCTTGATTTGCGGTCATGTGGGTTGTTCGCGTTATCATCAGGGCCACGCGTTCGAACATTACCGAGATACACATCACTGCTATGCAATGCAACTGGGCAACAATCGTGTTTGGGATTATGTCGGTGATAATTTCGTACATCGATTGCTACAGGACAAAGATGGCAAAATGGTGGAAGGTGGTCGTACCGAGGCCAAGAATGAAGGCGCCGCTGTGGAAGAAAAAGTTGACTCAGTGCAATTGGAATTCACGTATTTATTAACATCACAATTGGAAACACAACGTCAATACTTTGAAGAGAAGCTTAGTCGTTTGGAACAACGTTCTAAAACTGAGATTACCGAGTTGAGGGACAAACTAGGAGAAGTGCTTGAGGAGAATTCGCAGTTCAAGGTAGACAATTCTCTTTGTTATCTTATATCTTTTTGTTTTTCTTTTTCAGTTTCTTTTCTTTTTTCTTTCCTGTTTTTTTATTGGTTCAACTTTCTACAAAATATTTTTTATATTATGTCAGAAACAGTTTTCGATGCTAAATCGGGATAAACAGACATTGGAAAAACGTCTACAACAATCCACCAATAAATTAACGCAAATACAAGCGGAATTAACGGAAGAAGAAGAGCTAAGGAAGGCCTTGCAACTAAATCAAACTTCGTGGCAAATGAAATACAAGACATTGGAGAATGAACTGTCCGAATTAAAAACTGCGAAAGAAACGGAAATCGCCGACTTAAAGGAACAAGTTCGGGATCTCATGTTTTTCCTCGATGCACAAAATCAGATTGAGAAGTCTGTCGATCGCGACGAAATTGCCGCTGGTCGTATTGTCGTTCCTCCAAGTCCTAGCAGTGGAAAATCATCAGGATCTCGAGGACATAAAGGCCACAAGAAACATTGATGCTACCGTAAATATTATTATTGATATTATTAATGTTATTAAATATCTAAATTTGAAAAATTTCTAATTGTCCAAACTCGTATTCTTGTTTAATAAAGGAGGGAAGATTCACTATTAAAAATTTTTGTCGACATGCAAATAAAAATACTAATGCAATGTTTTGACTATCAATTACAAAAATAATTCAGAAAATACCAAGTAAGAGAATTATATTGGAGTTTTTCTCAGTGGTAAATTTAATATAAATAAGGTATTATTTAATTATAAAGATTTTAGCAAATTGTTTATATTTTATCTGATTTATAATATCAATGTAAATTTAAAATTAAAAAATAAAATATTACAAATATCTTTAATATACCTCAATATAATTAGAAATTCTCATAGATTCTCATCGTGTCTGAATGCAGGGTTATCATATTGAAATTGATTCGCATCCAATATTGTTGGAAGCTGAGTATCTGATGGTCTCCTTAAACTATTAGTATCATCATAAATATCATACGATTTTTGAGGTTGTATCTTTTTTCTTTTTGCTAAAATTGTTGATCGTCTTCGTTCGAAAGCGCTGAATGCGCCCTTGGACATTCGTGAGGAAACATGTTCTGATAAACCTGAAAAATATACATTTATATAAAATATAAAAATATTTAGTAAAAATATTTAAAAAATACATGCAAAAATGTGACAAATATATTATAGCATTTACATATAAATATCTTGGCAAATAGAGTGCTTAATATATATTATTCGATATATTTGCAAATATCAAGAAAGCTTAATTTAAAGATAATCTGAATTATAAGCTTGGTGATTAATGCCATCTTTACTCGTCAAATACCTGATAAATTTGGGTTACGGAGTTTTCGTCGAAACAATCTTTCAAAATTTCCGACTTTCCTCAACGGTGATTGTGAATTCTCTGTTAATTCGTGCACAGTTCTTCTTCTATTAGAAGCAGTCATGGTAGTTCGTCTATATTCATCGGTTATTTCATCCTCTGCCATACGTTGAAGTCCTTGTGCTATAACATTAGCATCCTTCTCAACAGTACTGTCTTCAGAAGTCATCTGCGAAAATAGAAGCTATATAATGAATCACTAAATCATACATAAAAGAAATATATTTTTAGATTTATCTGTCTAATCTTTTCTTTACAATAAATCAATTTTTTATTTGTATATATTTCACTCAGTACATTTATTTAAAGAAAATAGCGAAAGAAATATTGAAAATGGTTAAAAATTTTAACGATATTACTTTAGTACAACAAAGTTTGATCTTCATGTTAGCAAGCACATGGGTAAATGTGTCAAATCGATGAATCAGCATAGAAACAAATTGAATGCCTAATATGCTGACAAATCCGATAATAAATAAACAACCAATGGGTTCGAGCCTCAAATATTGTTTTGTCACATGCACCTGTAGAAAATTGATATTGTATATTGTAATATATATCTAAAGCTTAAAAGTTAATTAATTTGATTGTTATAAAATAATTTAGTCCATAAAGAAATAAAGAACAATGGGTAAAAAGGACCGATTTTGGCCCATCGTGGGGAACGGACAAAACATCTTTAGAGGATTTTGACCCGCTAAACATGATGTCGTCGTTAGTTTTCGTCTAAAACTCTGGAAACATGTTCTAATCCGAGGATCTATTATCCCATAATCGAATGGTCTAGCAAGCCCCTGCGTAAACTTTGAAGCTATTGCAAACTTTATTGAAAAAATGGTACTAGACGTTTTTACTCTATTCTCAAGAATATATTGGCTCTGTTTTTTATAGCTACACTGTTGAACTAGTGCAATAAGTTAAAGTGAGAAAAAATATAGTCTCATTTTAACTTATTGCATTGGTTCAGCAGTGCAGCTATAAAGAACAGACCCATTGTTACAATAGCGTCCTGACTTGTTAATTTGACGATTTTGAAATTTCCAAAGGTCGATAAGTTAACAAAAGTTAATAAAAATGCAATATATTCTAACAATATATTTTTCAAATCAGATAGAGTAAAAAAATCTAATACTATTTTTTCTTCCAACAAATAATTAGCGAGATATCGTAAGTTAAATGTTGAAAAAGTTACCAAGTTTTTCTTAAATATCTCGAAAAATATTAGGCAAATAGAAAAATGTTTCAAACCAAAGTTGTTCAAATTAATTGATAGAAAAATATGATATATTAAAAAATTGCAGTTTCCATTTAAGAAAAGTAATGATCAGTGAATATCTCAAAAGTGGTGCCATCTATAAACAAAATGATATAGTTGTTGTATGTCCCCTTTGAAACCATACAACTTTTGTCTGAAACATTTTTTTCTAAAATGTGTTTACAAAAAAATCGGGTGGTACGGATGGTCTGTGACACCGTATATACGAGGGCAGTCTGAAAAGTTCTCGGCCTAACAATGAAAGAAAAATTTTTTGCCGTGAAATATGTTTTATTTTTCAATATAATCTCCTGAAACTTCAATACATTTATTCCAACGTGTTCCCGTCGGGTTCCGCCGACGACGATGGCGCGGTATCGCACAGCGCTGTGCGTGGAGGATGCAAGTACGCGATCTTTTATCGCTATAAGTGCAGGAGGACAGAGAAACCGATCAAGTAAGATTAAGCTTAAACTGAATTTATTCTTATGTACAACAACAGCCATATCCGGCGGCGAACATTTTGCGATCGAGCGGAAATCTTGAGGCACCTTTTTCAGCTTGTAAAACGCGGACGGAGATCTTGGGAAACGTCTGACTGGACGCCCGATCGACGGAAATCTTCGCTGTAGACCGGCGGACGTAAGGTGTTTCGCGACAAGCAGTGCTCGCGGACGCGACGTTCGCCGACGGCGCACGGAAAATGGATATGATTTTAAATCATATAATACAAAACACAAAAGTAATGCAAGTTAAACGCGTTGAGTGCTCGATGTACCGATGGGCACGCGATCAAGCGTCGGAGAGTGGCGTGCGACCCAGGCGCGTAGAACAGAGCGCAACTTCATGCAATCGTAACCGAGTGCAACGATGCAGCCACGACGAAATAAAACACTGATCGCGCGAACATGAATGAAGCTCTCGCCCGCCCGTTGAGATCGGAAGAAAAAGACCGCTCGGAAGAGAAGACAAATAAACCAGAGTGCGAAGAGAATCTTCAGTCTCACTTGTATCTTTTTGCAGCTCTAGCTGGCAGATAATGATTGGCTGTAACTCGTTCACGCCATAATCGCATGTTTGGGGTCTGCCCGGCATACATGGCTAACACGGGAATAAACATTGTTTTGAGGAGTGTTCCTCGCTGGGGATTTTGTGGTCCAACGTTCGGTGACGAAATTTCCGCTAGCGCTGAGCACGCATCGATCACGCGTGAGCTTCGTGATATTGAAGATAGAAGAATCTTTAGATTCTTTCAGAAAACTATCGTTCGCTATGAACTCCGAACACAACGTTTTTCCAATAATTCAATACCATCATGAAAGTGTGATTCCGGAAGGTTCTTTTCACTTTGGTGTATAGTGGTGGATCCAAGTTTCATCAACAGTTATGAAATGACGCTTGAAATCTATTTTATTTTGCTTAAAACGATCCAAACACGCTTGAGAAATACGCATTCGAACGCGTTTTTGATCAATTGTTAGCAAATGCGGCACCCATCTTTTTTTTTTTATAACGGTAGGGAAAATCCATCATGGATACCACCGGCCCTAGAGGGAGCCATGTGGTTATGCCGGACTCCTACCGGCTAAAAACCCTATCGAAGTGTCTTTCATCAAGTCTCAGAGTTGGGGTTTAGGAGGAAATAGTTCCTTATTACTTCTCCACAATGCGGCACCCATCTTGCACAAAGCTTTTTCAACTGGTGCTACTACTCGAATGATTTGACAGATCGAATAAAATTTTACATGGATTTATATCAAGGATGCCACTTTCCAATATAATTATAGTTTGACAGTTTCTAATGCCATGTATGTGTCAGGTCGAGAACTTTTCAGACTGCTTACGTATATTTGTTACAGCAAATTTTGTATAAAAAATGAACATCTTCAACTATTAAATCGAAAATCTAAATTATCTTCAGCTAATACACAAGTTTGCAATAGCTTCAAAGTTTATGTAAAGGCTTCCCGGGCCATTCGATCATTGGGTGATAGATCTTCGGATTAGAATATATTTCCCGGATTTTAGACGAAAACTAACGACGGTATCGTGTTCTGCAGATCAAAATTCTCTGGAAATGATATGTCCGTTCCCCACGATGGGCCAAAATCGGCCCTTTTTATTCATTGCTCTTTATGATTTGTAAATTTTATGTTTGAGAAAAGATTTTGTATTTTGATATACCAAGTTTTCTAAAAGTTTTCTAAAAACGGACTCCCCCCCTATCTCAGAATCTATGCATTATAGGGAAAAATGACTCGAACAAAAGTTTTAGGGTTTAGGGTTTAGGGTCATAAAGTTCTATGTTTTTGTGACCTCAACTTTGACCTTAACCTCGACCTTGAAAGTCGTTTGAAAGTCAACTTGCGTTTTTTAAATGGAATCCCTTATTTTTTATTACACTATTTTTTCTATAAATTAATTTGAACAACTTTTGTCTAAAACATTTTTTTATTCGTCTAATATTTTTTTAAATATTTGAGGAAAACTTGATAACATTTTCAATATTTAACTTACGATATCTCGTTAACTATTTGTCGGAAGAAAAAGTAGTACTGGACTTACTTGCTTTATTTAGTCTCAAGAATATATTGTTGCAATAGTGCCCTGATTTTTGTTAATTTGATGATTTTGAAATTTCCAAAAGTCAGTAAGTTAACAAAAGTCAGAGCGCTATTGTAACAACATATTCTTGAGACTAAATAAAAAAAGAAAGTCTAGTTTTTTCTTTTTCTTCCGACAAATACACTGCTCAAAAGAATTATGGCATAGATAATTTATTGCCGAAAATTGGCTAACTTTGACTGGCGATTCGCGGAAAATTATTGTAGACAATGTAGACTAATGATTTTGTTTCAAAATGAAGCTTGAAGTCTCTACTTTAAGAATATATCTCCATTTTTTGCAACGGCAAAAGTATTTGTTGATATACGTACGCAAGCACGCGCGCATGTTTTTCAGCTCCTGGCTCGTGTTTTGACCACAGCCAACATTCCTAGCATCGGCAAACAAACTCTCTCCGTATTCTCCACAGCTCCGTATGATTTCTGAAGGGCTGTAACTTTGCGAAAAAATTTGTAGCAAAAGAAAATTGACTCCATTTTTCTTTCAAGTTGAAGGGGAACATTTGAACTTTATGATGATGTAAACGGCGTCCCCGAAAAAAAATTGTCCACGTCCGTGAATTCCGTCAAACTTTGCAATTTTCAGTATAACCAAACATGCCTTCAGATGTCAGGGGTTACAAGGGTAGAGGTGCATCGCATGCGAAAAATGGAGATACATTTTTAAAGTAGAGACTTCAAGCTTCACTTTGAAAAAAAATTATTAGTCTACAATAATTTTTTGCGAAGTAATCGCCAGTCAAAGTTGGCCAATTTTCGGCAATAAATTATCTATGCCATAATTCTTTTGTGCAGTGTAGTTAGCCAGATATCATAAGTTAAATATTGGAAAAGTTATCAAGTTTTCCTCAAATATGTCAAAAAATATTAGGTAAATAAAAAAAATGTGTTAGATAACAGTTATTCAAATTAATTGGTAGAAAAAAACAGTGAACATAAAAAATAGGGGTTCCCATTTAAAAAACGCTTTGAAAATGCTTTAAAAAAAGTTGACCTTCAAATGATCTTTAAGATCGAGGTCAAAATCAAATTTGAGGTCACAAAAAAACAGAACTAACTTTATGAACCCTAAAACTTTTGTTCGGGTCATTTTTCCCTATAATGCATAGATTCTGAGACAGGAAGGGTCCGTTACTTTTGGAAAACTTGGTATATAAAGCAGACTATGTAAATAAAATTATGAATTCAGACAATTATGGATTTAATCTTATATTTATATTGAATTTAATATTCATATGAATATACCTTTTCGCAGAATGTATAGTATAATTATCACTGGAATGCTCACCTCATTTCTTTTTTCATCGTATGTAACATTATATTTCATACTCAATGGCCATTGCAGATGCAGTATCTCTTTATTCAACTGCATAAGGAACACGATTAGCACAAATAAGGCATTTAACATGAAGAACCTCAGCAAATATGCGTTTCGACAGTTCATTAATTCCTGAGCTATCTTTTTCTAAAGAAAGCATATTACACAATAAATACACAGAAAAATAACTCACTACCACGTAAGTGTTTTCTTCTATAGTCCTCACATCTTTTTCTTATGAGATAAAATTTTTACCTGACTTTTTTCATCGGTTTCAATAGGTCGCAAATATTTTTCTATCAATTCTTTCCAGAATTCCTCTTCACGATTCGACAAAAAATCTACCTCACCCTTTCGCATTCTTTCGTCTTGGAGCCAGTAAGGACTGATGAGGAAACTGGAGGGTTCATGACTCGAAGTCATTGACATTTGCGTCAAAACGTCGCTGTCTTCGTCAACGTCCCCATTCTCGCTCTTATTATCGTCTTTTATATGTTGAAGCTCAATGTCCTGACATAATTTCGCTTCCATTGTATCTTCTATCGGTGAATACGATCTTATGTATTTATTAGGATGAGAGGACGATTGGATAATGCCGCTAGTCTCCATATGCACTAATCTGTATGTATCAATAATTAAATTGGAATTAAATGAGGTAATTGGCTTAATAAAAATTAAAGATGATTTGTTTTAAACGTGATTAAACATAACGGCTTTATCAAACCTATCCAATAACTTCAAACGTTTGTCTATTTGCTGCAAGGAGTCGTTAATTTCATTTAGCCGCCTCTCTTCATGACTGATCCTCGTATTAATGCAACAGACACATCTGAAGAGATTTCCCAAGGAAAAATCGAATGAACCATCTTTTTGATTCCTATTTTGATTGTTCCATTTTCCTATCATATTTTCCGAATTGCCAATTTTCGGTGACTTTTGTTCTTCTTGAGACTATTTTAAGTTTATGATAATTTTTTATTTTATTACATGATAATTTTTCATTTATAATTGGAAATGGCCTTTTCTAATTATTTCCCGCAGTGGGACGTGCAAGTATTTCCAAATTAATCGAACTTAACGAAAAGTTGAATACTTACAATATTTTTCTTCTTTTCTCTCGTACCCCATGTGACGTTATGCACATTGAAAATGGAGAAAATGATCAGCAACATGTACATGGACGGTACAGTAATGTAATAAATAACGCCACACAATAGGCATGTCCATTCTTGAGGGTGTAATAGACCAGCCACTATTAGTTGCATCGCAACAATGAAAAAGAGAAGACTGCTAGGTGCAAGCCATCCATCTTCCGCAATTTGCAACATGATTCCTACCAGAACGATTATCATCACCAGTCCGTAAATAACGCTGATGATCTCGGCCACTAATAACTGCACAAATTCATATCAGTAAATGCGCATTAGATGTTCTTGTGTTCTCAGCTCAATAATTATAATTCGTGAAAAATATAACGATCTAATAACAATAAATGCTAGATGGTAACAATCAACATTATGCTTATTTACATTTTCTGCATTTATAAAATTATTCGAGTTCTGTACCTGTATGCGCTCCTTGCAAGTAAAACAAACTCCAACGAATACACCAATTGGAATTAGATTATACCAAAAACTGGTCCAATTATCGATATGAAAAGCGGCAACAAATGCACCGACCAACATCAAGAATATCGTACCAGGTCCTAGGATTGTACTCCCTTCAAAAGATATCGATAATCATTACCCGCAAAAAAACGGGCCACTAAATTTTAAGTTTTCTAACATCTTTTAATAGGGATAATTCAGCCAAAAATCATCGTATTGAGATGAAACAAAGCTCACATTAAAGCTTAGACATTTCTTGTCAACAACCAAAAACCTAAAAGTAAATTATAAAAAATGTTTTACAAAATAGCGGATGTTAAAGATAGACTTCGATTAATGGGAAAAAAATTTGTTTTTTAATTGTTGCATTGCTCAAGGGAATCGGTTCTCTAGTACAAAAATGTTTGCGGTTTAAAGCTCATTTATTTTCTAACAATATCCACTAACAATATTCTAACAATCCATATTTTAATCATTTTTCTACGACCTTTTTTGATGAAGTTATACCGTTTTGGAGAAAACGTTATAAAATGGACAATCTTTTCTTGTAAAATCTACAGTTCAGAATAAAAATTATCATGGACAATTTTTTCAAAAAGGAAATTAATATGTAATTTGATCAAGATGCTCCACGTGGTGGTAGATGATCGGATTTAAATCTCGTGTAAGTGTACATACGTGTATGTGTCCTGCTCTTAACGTTACGCTCAGGATGTGTCAACGGCGTGGACGTGGCAGGAATCTGATTCCATATATTATATGTGCGTGCGTGCATGCGTGTGCGTGCGTGCATGCGTGTGTGCGCGTGTATGTATATGTATATGTGTGTATATTTAAGTTTAATAGTGCGTATTGCCTTCTTTCGCAATTAGTAATTCTTCTATTCGTTGGGACATATTGTAAATCAAATTTCTAATTTCTTCTTGTTTCACATTGTTTCATTCTTGCAAAATGCGAAGTGTTGCTAACGTTTGAATATTATATTTTTTTACTCTTCGTTTCAGCATGCTGTCTATAATGATCGATAAGATTCATATCCGGACTCAATATTTTTTTCAAAACGGCATAACTTTATCAAAAAAGGTCGTAGAAAAATTAAAATATGGATCTGTTAAAAAATAAATGAACTTTAAACCGCATACATTTTTATATCAGAGAACCGATTCCCCTGAGCAATGCAACAGTTAAAAAACAAATTTTTTTTCCTATTAATCAAAGTCTTTAACATCCGCCATTTTGTAAAACATTTATTATAATTTACTTTTAGGTTTTTGATTATTGACAAGAAATGTCCAAGCTTTAATTTGAGCTCCTGGCCCCCCGGGTCCGGAAAGCAGGCCTGGCGTTGGCAGGCCTGATGAAGACCTGCCAACGCCAGGCTGCGGGAGGCCCCGGATGGCACGCTCGCCGCCTCTATATCGGTGTGGTACTTTCGATCGCCCTCTACGGGGTGCCCATATGGGCACCCCGGCTTATGGCCTCCGACTGCAACAAGATGCTTTTGCGCGGAGCCATGCGGTCGGTGGTCGTGATCCGGTCGGCGATCCGGGGATACCTCACCATTTCGTATAGGGCGGCGACGACCCTGGCCGGCTCTCCCCCTGTGGAGCTCCTAACCAATGAAAGGCATATCCTTTATTGGAGGGTGAAGGAGCTCCGCGAGGAGGGGGAGGGTTTATCGGCCAGGGACCTGGGGGCCCTGAGATCCCAGGCCAGAGCCTGAGTCCTGGAACGGTGGTCGGCCATACTGGCAGACCCCCAGGGATTTGGGCTCCGGACGGCCGAGACCGTCCGCCCCTGTCTGCCAGAAATGGCGGACAGGAGGGGACGCGGACTCACCTTTCATCTGGTACAGGTGCTGACCGGGCACGGTTGCTTCGGTCGGTACCTGCGCCGGATTGGAAGGGAACCCACCGCGGAATGCCACCACTGCCCGGTGTGGGAGGACACGGTGCAGCACACCCTGGCGGAATGCCAGGCGTGGGAACCGCAGCACCGTGTCTTCGCCCGGGTAGTGGGGTGCGGCGGCCTCCTTTTGCCGGGAGGTCCCGCAAGGAGGCCGGCGAATAGGAGCGCCGACTCAGACCCCGTCGCATGGGGGGGGGCGGTGCTCCCCAGGGATGGGGAGCGGGCCCGAGGTGGCGCCGGCCGAGGAGCAGCCGCCGATCCCTCAGAGGCGTCTTCGGCCGCCTCGGGCCCGCCTTCGACAAAGCGGTGGAAATGGGAGAAGGGAGTTAAACGCGCCCACCCACAGCGCGTCGGTGGCAGGAAGAAGGGGATGGAAGGGAGAAGAAGTGGGACTTGGTTGGGACCAGGCCTCACTTCCCTGCCCCCTACCTACCCAGTAGGAAAGGGGGAAGGCGGGGGCGAGGAGGAAGGGCGGGTGTCCCCTCCCTCCAAAATTTAGAACGAAAGGCCAACCCGGCCGGTTGCCCGGCCGGGGCACCGCACCCTTGACTCCCTCCGTAGGAAGGGCACGGTACTTAGGTGTGGGGCTCCCTGAGAGCTCTGGGACCGGGATGTCGGGGAGGAAATGCAGATGTAGTTCCCCTGACTCCCCCTACTTCAGTCCGAGCGGTAGGCACCCCGGTGGGATTTTAGCCGGTAGGAGTCCGGCATAACCCCCGTCCTCCCCAAGGGGCGGGGGTATCCATGATGGATTTCCCCACCGTTACCCAAAAAGAAAAAAAAGCTTTAATTTGAGCTTTGTTTCATCTCAATATGATGATTTATGATTAAGTTATCGCTATTGAAAGATGTTAGAAAATTGTGCTAAAAGATGTTAGAAATTGTGCTAAAATTTAGTGGTCTGCTTTTTTTACGGATGAGTATCAAGAGACACGGTAGTGTCTCGCGCCAAGTGAACGCGCGAGCGAGGTGACGAAACCGAACTGTGTATTATTACGCGAAATCTCTACCCAGTAAGCAACATGCTAGCAGAATGCGCGCAGATTGACGCCAATTTCGATCAGATCCCCACATCAAAACCATAGCCATCTGTGTCCTCATTAGGCTCGTGTTTTGTCGACAGGACCTGCGTGCAGGCCGTGCGAGCAGATTGGTGCCAGAAACCGCGCAGGTCCTGCTGCCAAACTACGCGCAGAGTCTGCGCGCAGAATTTGCTCGGTTTCTGCCGCCAATCTGCCGTCAAATTACTACAAGTCTTGCGCGGTTTTTGCTACAAATCTGCCGTCAAATATCCGACAGCAAGATCTGGCATATTTGACCGTAGATTGGTGGCATAATTTGATATAACAAATTAAATTTGTTGCCTATTTTCCATCAAACTATGATAGCAGGCTTTGCTCGAAATCTGCTCGCACAGGTTTGGCTATCTGGCTAGTTAATCATAGGATCTATTTTCGTACCACTATAACGGCTAAACCGATTAGGTCCTGCATAAGCTCAATCGATTCCGCAAGGTCTAATTATATAAGAAAACTATCTTCATTTTTGCTCTATATGTCCTGTGAGCTTAGAAATTTATTCTCAAAGTACGAAATCGTGAAATTTACGAAAATCGTTCAACAAATGTCTGACTGACATTTACTTTCACTAGAGGGAGTTACAAAGCTACAAAACGTTAAAAGTACATCATATAAATACATATTCATAGACTATTCTGTTCGCGCAAGGGCGAGATTGTTTTCGACTCGGCCGGGCACGTGAACTACGCGTGCTCTCGGTAGACCAAACAATATGCGCCGTCGATAGTTCTTCGTCGTCGGTCGCGCCAATAGAAGACGGCCACGGGCGCGTAAAATCATCGAAAGAAACGCGTGCTGGACTCGTGCGCGTCCGACGCAGACAAAAACTGCTCGTCGAGCGCCAGTCAATTGACATTTCGTTATTAAATTATTATTGATATAAAAGATTACTTGATAATACGTATAATATTTTTGTGAAAAAGATGTGATATCCGAACTAATCTTTTTTTCAAAAAGAGGTAAAAAAAAGACGCCAACCCATACACCACAGCACCGTTGCAGCAACATTACAGGAACGTTGTTTTGCAAGATTGCAACATTGCAAAAACGATGCGAAATATTGTTGCAAGATTGCAGCAAAACATTAAAATGTCCGCTTACAATATTGCAATGAAATATTGTAATAAAATTGCAGTGTAACATTGCAGCAACATCTGTAGTATAATTTGTATGCAATAATGCTTTATATACAAGATTTGTTAAAAGTGTGGAAACCCTTAAATAATTTTTGTAAAAATGAAAATATAAAAAGACGGTAAAACATGTATTTTGATTTTTCAAAAAAGTTACCCTATGACATGGATACCGATCATTCCCCACCCCCTGGTATGCGGGGGTAAAGGGGAGTTGAAAATTTTAAATTGGACTAAGGGTCGAGTGGGGGCTCATTTGAAAGGTCTTTTCATAACAAACACACTCTTAAAATTTTAAATCGCTACGAGCCCCCCATTAAAAATGGCGGCCGTTCAAATTTCGAAATTTCATGCACTTAGTGTTATCCAGGATCAACCAGCTACTTAAAATCAGTTGTTCTCACTGCTACTTAAAATCAGTTGTTCTCACGGTTACTTAAAATCAGTTGTTCTCATTGCTACTTAAAATCAGTTGTTCTCACGGCTACTTAAAATCAGATGTTCTCACTGCTACTTAAAATCAGTTGTTCTCACGACTTAAAATCAGTTCTCACAGATCTTAGGCAGATTAAAAATTAAACGTTTTAAAAATGGCTGGCGAATTGTCGGAACGTGAAAGAATCACTATCCTCATGATGGGTAGATGGGGTGATAACGAGCGGTCGTACGCTCAATTATTTAATGAGACGTATCCGAATCGTCGAATTAATAAATCCACTATCTTCAAAACAATAGAACGTTTCAGAGAAACTGGTAACGTAAACAATCGCCCTAAATCAAAGAGACCTGCCATTAACGAAGAAAAAAAAGACAACTTGATGTTCTGCAGACATTTATTGAAGGTCCCAATTCTACTATTAACAGAGCCGCTCAAACTCACGATATTGTTCCCAAGTCCGTTTGGAGAATTTTAAAGAAAAGCAAGTTCCATCCATACAAATTACAATATGTTCAAGAATTGCAAGACGGAGATGTGGAACGTCGTATAGGTTT